GACAAATGCAGGGTGCTGCACCTTGGGAGAAGGAATCCACAGCATACATATAGGCTGGGGAGTTCCCTTCTTGAAAGCACAGAGGCAGAAAGATGAACATGAGCCACCAATGCCAGACCGCAGCCAGCAAGGCCAGCCATACTTTGTCATGTATCCAAAGGTGCATCTCAAGCCGGTCCAGAGAGGTGATACTCCCCCTCTGTGCGACTTTGGTCAGGCTGCAGTTGGAGTACAGCATCCAGTACTGGGTGCCACGCTTCAAGAGGGATGTGGCCAGCCTGGAGAGCATTCAGAGGAGGGCCACCCACTTGGTGAGAGGGCAGCAGGACACGCCCTACATGGAGAGACTGAGGGACCTGAACCTGTTCAGCCTCAGCAAGAGGAGGCTGAGGGGGGACCTGGTGGCTGCCTACAAACTCATCAGGGGAGATCAACAGCAAATAGGTAGAGCCCTTTTCTCCCCAGCACCACCTGGGTTGACAAGGAACAATAAGCTGTTGGAGAATAGGTTTAGGTTAGAGATCAGAATGCAATATTTAACAGTTAGGGTGGCCAAAATCTGGAACCAATTTCCCAGGAAAGTGGTCCTCGCCCCTACCCTGGGCAAAGTCAAGAGGAGGTTGGATGATCACCTGTCTGGGGTCCTGTGAACCCAGCATTCATTCCTGCAGGTGGTCAGGCTAGATGAACTGTTCAGGTCCTTCCTGATCCTAGCTACTATGAAACTATAAGTAAGAATGCTGTTGGAGGTCGTAGGCCTGTCTACTGTAAATTTTTTCTTGGTAGCATTCTGAAACTTGCCTGGCAGCTAGGACAGCTCTATCTATGCCATGGCGATTGGGACAGGAGAGCATCCTGCTGAGTGGAGACAGCTCTCCCCCCACTCCTTTGGTCCCCTGCTACATAGGCTGATTAGCATCAATTTGCTCCAGGTCAGCGTCTGCACATACTCTTCAGCACAGTAGTTTAATGCCCTGATTTTTAGTACCTGTATCTACAGGTACTAAAAAACAGCACATTAGATGAATCTGCTGTGCAGTAATTGCTGTGCATGTGTACGTGGTAATGTTTTACTGCACATCAAAATCTCCAATAGCATCTTTCCAGCAGGACACAATCAGCAGTATGTTTTTTGGTTATCTACTACATTTCTTTTAGTAGTACTACACAATGTGGTCCTTTTTTGGATGTTGGGGATGGAACCTTGAAATGAGTTATTGTAGATAGATTCAGAGAGTGAATAATCCTGCTTGCTTCATCTATCTGATAGGATGTGTTTTCACGTCTTTGATACTAAGTATACTTAATGCTGAGAGGGGGCTTGAATTCAAACACTAGAAATGGGTTTTTTTGGTTCCTCAGTTCTGTGCCTCTCATACTATCATCAAGTGTTCGATTATAATGTCAGTACAGATATCAGCTGAAATCACTCCCAATTTTACATACTTCACTGAATAGGAAGGAGTTGCATGAAAATGCCTTTTGGTCATACCAACAGGAATATATTCAGCTTGGCAATTTGTTATAGATGTAAAAAATCCTGTATCACTTTAACCAGTTGCACTCTAGTGATAATACAGAATAGCATTTGAAGGCTTTCTAAGTGTGTCATAACATACTGTACTTTGGAAGATGGTGATTCTAAGTCTTTTTGGGCTCATATAACAGGGTATAAAAATAAGACATCAAATATTTCAGAATTTATGCTTTTGCTTACCAAGGGTGGCTTGTTAAAAATGCTGTCTTTGGAAAACTTTCTGGTAGCCACCAAAACTATCAATAAAAGTATGAGACTCAGAAAGAGATGAGAAGTAATAAAAACTTACTGTAACTGGAAAATGTGGATGAGAACTTAGTCAAGCTTTTCTATACAAGTCCCCACTAGGGGGATATGAGTAGTTTTATTGGCATATTATTACAATTCAAATAAATATCAAAACAAGGTAGTATTTGAGACAACTGCTTTTTTACAGGCAGTATTTAACTTTAAATTAATGATGATGGAAATCAGTGAAAAGTAGGTTTAATGTCATATATATGAAACAATTTTTACAATAGAGGTTTGAGATATGCCAAATACCATATTTACTCAGATACAAGATGAGATTTTTTTTCAAAAAAAGCCCCTCATAATTGCATACAAGGAAATCTCACTAAAAGATTTTCTGTCATTAAACTGCTACTAAAAGCAGCAAGTGCTCAGCAATGGAAACCATCTATGAAATTTGATTAACTGCAACCAGCACTGAACATGACTATAAAACACATGGCCTACATTGGGCAAATATGCTGATGGAACCCTACCACAAAAATAGATCAGTGCAGCCTAACTAAATAAGGCATAAGGGTAGTGCCCATTAAATGCAGTCCCCCTCATCACCAACTCCTCTTCAAGTCATAGTGAGCCACTAAATGGCATACATTTTTACTTTCTCTTCACTCCCAGACCCAAGCTGTACCCCTCTTTCCCATTTTTTGCGTGGGACAAAAACAAGGGGAATCTCCAATAATTAGGTTCTATACTTGGATTTTTTTTTTTAAATTGTAAGTTTTCTATATATAGAACCTAATTATTGGGGAGTCATCTTATAATCAGTGTTGTCTTCTATTTAAGGAAATTCAGTGGTTAAGGCAGGCTGCTGTAATTGTATTGTGATGTATTTCAGCAGGTCATGGAAAGATTACGGTGTGAACACGGTCATGATGATGATGATAATGAGAATTCACCTGTTACATTATATAGCACTAAGGCAGTAAAGACTTCCCAACATTTCCATACTGAACCTACATCTTCAAGGATTTATAACTGTGATGTAACAGTTCTCTGGGCATGGAAATAGAGCAAATATTGTAACACTAGAGTGCTAACAAGAAGACATGCTGCATTGTTATATTTGGGCTATTTGTATACTAATTAATGGTTTAATTATGTGGACAGTAGTTTTCTCTGTTTATGAACAGTTCTGTGGCTTTATAATGTGAGACTCATGAACAAAGTATCATTTGATCTCCTTTCATACTCATACTATACATTTATCTGTCTTAATTTTAAGCAACAAGAAGTTGAGGACACCACAAAACTACTTCATAATGAATTTGGCTACAAGTGACTTTCTGATGGCTGCTTCTCAGGCTCCCGTTTCCTTTATCAACAGCTTGCACAAAGAATGGATACTTGGAGACATAGGTACTTTTCAACTCTACTTTATATCACTCCAGCCATCACTGGTAGGATGGTTTTGCTAAGATAGATTTTCTTCCCCTTGATTGACTGAAATTCATGCATTTATTCAAAAATGTCCTCTGGTACCCATTACTAGGCCTAGGAACCATAAACCAAGGAAAGTGTCACGGAATGAGACTGTTTCTGACAACAAGGAAAAATGTCATTTTTAAGTTTGAAAATAGTGCAAACTCTGGTTCAAAACTGAAAGGTTCATTCACCATTGCATCATTTGACTTTTAGGCTGTTGATGGCAATAGAAACACATTATACAATTTGAATAGCACAGTGGTGAATTAAGTCCTGAAACAACCTATTATTTGCACCAGCAACAGGGATATATTAATAAAATTCACAATATTGCTGGTGTTGTCTTCTTTATTAGTTAAATACCACTCCAAAGTCTGCTTTTCTCATATAAATCATCCTCTTGTCAGGATAATCCTGCTTGTTTTATGCAACTTAAGTTCCATGCTTCTGATGATGACACGATTACTTTTGGTGTCAATTGGGTGCATTTACACGTATAATTAATGTGCCTGAATTTTCTGTGCAAAAAATTCAGGTGCATTAAACTGCTCTCAAGCACGTGTCTGAATGTGCACCCACATCAGGAGCAGTTTACTCTTGGGATCTCCTGCCCTGCTGTGCCCCCATGAAGCGTCCCCCTGGCAGGGGGCACTGGGGGCAGCCTCAGGCTGGCAGAGGGCATGGGGCAGTCAGTCCTGGAGTGGTGGCGAGGTAGCTGGGGACAGCTGCCCACCTGCTCCCCAGAGCACCTCCATAGGGCTCAGAGCCACTCCATGGGCAGCTGTCCCTAGCTCCCTGCCTGCCTGACATTGCTCCTAGCTCTGCGGGGCTTGGAACTGCTCTGGGGATCAGGCGGGGAACAGAGTTTGGGGCCAACCTGTGGCTCCCTGCTGCCTGGGCTGACTAGGAACAGTTTGCTCCCAGTCAGCATCTACATGTGTGCTTCGATGCATTAGTTTAATGCCCCTTTTTCTAGTACCTGTATTTACCAGTCTTAGAAAATGACACCTTAGACTAATGTGCAGTAATTGCTGCATACATGTAGGTGGTGACGCTTTGCTGTGCATTAGTCTAATATGTAGTAAAAGGTTTCATGTAGACACACCCACTGTGTCATTTGAATTGATGTCCTCTGCCTGGTATACTATCATCTGTGATGAGATGGTACCACAGAAAATCCCAAAAAACAATTGACTGTTTAGCTCAGTTCTCAGATTAAATGATGTAAATTGAAGCTCTGTCTGTCTTTGTCTGTGTAGCAGGAAAATTGCTTTGTTTCAAAGTAAAAATAGAACTTAAAAAAATTCAATATTTAATAGAACCAATGGCTATATTTTCCATTTGGTGTTTTAAATAGCCATAAAATAAAAAGAGCCAGTACTTTTTTAATTCATGTAAATCAGGGGGGTTTCTTGTTTTGTTTTGTTTTTTGTATCTCTTCTTGTCATTAGGAGGCAAATAAATGTTTCCGTCCAGTTAAGGTCATTATACTGGGCAGCAGTCCAGGAAAATGTAGCTTAAATTGTATTGAATTTTCTTTGAGGCAGTTTTCCATTGACCAGGGGTTTTCAGTCCCCGCCTGTAGTAGAGGTGGGGAGAAGATTTCTTCACAACCTCTATTTTTATGTTTGTTTTATTAAATAATTTTAAAAATTGATACAAGAGATCTGTAAGTCTTCCTCTAATGGAAGAAAAGTCTCAGATCAAGAAGAGAGTGATCACAAATGGGAAACTTACTGCCTCAGATTCTGAGAGTGGACATACGTTTATTTAAACCCTCCCCAAATTTACACTCCCCTTTTCTGCTTCAGGTTGTGAGCTGTATGCTTTTTGTGGAGCACTCTTTGGAATCACTTCAATGATGACTTTATTAGCTATTTCTGTTGATCGCTACCTTGTGATCACTAAACCGCTGCAATCCATACAATGGACTTCAAAGAGACGCACGGCACAGATCATTGTTCTTGTCTGGCTTTACTCACTGGGATGGAGCATGGCTCCACTATTTGGGTGGAGTATGTTGTTTACTCTTTTTTACACTGCACATTCTTCATTTCTATACTTTTAGCACTTTTTTGCTTTGTCAGAGATGCGTGAAAACAGCCAGTTTTCATGTATTATTCCTGAGTGGATATAGCTACTACCCAGGACAGGGGTGTCAACATTCAACCTGTAGACCTATATCATCAACCCTCTGGTGCTGCCTGTGTGTCTCAAAGCGACCCATGGACAGCACACAGGGTTTGCTGGATAGCTCTGTGTGCTGCACAGGGCACCCGTTCCAGTTCACACCTCACATGCTGCTCTGGGGTGCAGGGGCCATGCTGTATAGCTCGGTGGTGATGGCAGCTCCAGGACTGCACTTCACAGCCCTGTGGCAGCTGTGGATCTGGAATGCAGGGCTGGTCTTTAGGTCTAGCGCAGCTTGCAGTCTGGCCCCATGCCACTCATTCAGCCCATGGGGCCAAATGGGTTTGACACCTTCGACCTAGAAGTTTGCCACAGTACAGTATATTTGTGTCTTGCCAACACACCTTTGCAATCTTTTACTCAATCTCTATTCTCTGCACACTGTGATACTATGCATAGATAGCTAAAATAAGTCTTTGCCCTATACTGAGTTTGAAGTGTAAGATTACAGATATTCATTTTTTTTACCAGCTATTCTTAAGCAGGGCAAACAATCTTATAGAATGAAAGTGTACCTTAGCACATGCTGTGTCAGTCCTTGAAGTTGTTGCTAACAGTATCTAAGGGTGGAAACAGACATCATCTTCATGCCGCCATAAAAAATGTTATGGCAGCACAAAGTGAAAGCAAACAGATGTCCGTGCCTTCTGCCATGCCACAAGTGTTCAAATTTGTTGCTGTGACATAAGGTACTAATAAATTGGGTTGCTCTGTTGCTGCCATCATATTGCCTGAGCTCTTCAGCCTCTCTGGGGCAGGAGTTTCTGAGGCTTGAGGGGCCCAGTCCTGCAAACTGGGACTGAATTCTGCCCTGAATTCCTGGGCAAAACTGGCCCCCTCAAGCCCTGGGAGTATACCTACCTCACTTTTGCCACTTACCCAGATGTCTCACTAAGCAGAAAAATGCAGGGCTTTGGGGTGCATGTCTGTGAGTGAAAGTTCCCTGCTTGCAGGCACACACCCCGTGCAGGTAGAATCCTCCTGCTGAGGATTTCCCCAGGTGTGCCTACAACCATGGAGAAATCCACTTCACAGGGTTCTCTTGCTCACCAACACAGGGGACACAGCAACCAGGGACATCTATAGACATCCCTGGATTGCAATAAGCTATGCCATGACATGTTGTGATTCAGCTGATCACACTCCACTGAAGACATCTGTTTCTAGCCCATCTCAGATATGCAGCTTTTCTAGCAACAGACTTGGGGCCAGGTTATTGAAACTAGGTAATAGTGAACCTCAGTGTTCACCCTAAAGAAGTATAATTAAGGTATGTCTAACTGTGAACAATTCAATTCTCCCTCTTTTGAATAGTTTTTGAATAGTGTACAGCAATCCAGTTTATAAAGTTTGGCCAGGAAAAGAAAAATACTATATTTAGTTGAAAATGCAAGGAGAATTGTGGACATATGTAACAAACTTACTATGGCCTCTTGGTTTATCTGGCAAAGAGTGATATATTTAAGTTTTGCTCACATGCTGAACTTAGTATGAATCCTTTCACTGATTTTTTTTTGTTTATTTGTTTGTTTTTTTGTTTGTTTTTTGTGAGCTTCACGTCAAAGTTCGTGTGTAGTCCCTTGGTGCAACAAACATCATTATAGGAAAAGTTATATACAGGCAGGACAGATATGTTTAACCAACAGCCTACCAAATAGTGGTTTTTAAGGAATGTAACCACCAAGAATTGACAGGAATTATTTGGAGTGGCCTATTCAAGGACATACACAGAACAACAGTATGATACCAAGCAAAAGAAAATATGGCAGGTATTAGACTACACCAGTACACTAGTAATTTTTCTTCCTTTTTTTCAGAGAATAGAGCCAACTTCCTCCATTGTTCTTCTTTCCTGAGTAAAGGAATGAAAAGTGCGTAATTAGGGGTTACTGTTGTTGCTATAGGGAAGTCTAAGAAGTGAGATGATTAAAACAGAAATATTAAATTCTCCTTGGCTTGATATTAGACAAGGCTTCTAGGACAAACACTCTGACATCTGTTAGCATAGTGAGGTAGCAAGCATTAAAATGCTAATTTAATTTAATCTAGGAAAAAGGGTTTTCCAGCACTGAAAATGTGACAATGAAGGTATCTAATTTAGCTTGCAATGAATAAAAATAACAGTTTAAAGAAAAGTGAGCATTAGTGTCTTCAAATTGTTTTCTTTTATCTTAATTCATTTTTTTCCTTTTAATTGGCATCTTTGCTGGTTCCTATTCTGATGCTAAAGCTATATCGCTGTGGCTCTGCTATGGTGCTATCACTATAGCACTATGCGTTTTATGTTTCCAATTCATGATAAGGGACTAGAGACTTAAATTCTCAGAGACCAAAAAGAAGCAGGTTGACAGCTTTAGCAATAGCTAATGATGCTTCCTTTTGCTCTAATATGCACATACGTAGAAGTGTGTATCTGAAATTATGTTATCCTGGGTCAGGCCTACTATGTCAGTAGACCAAAACTCAGGACTACAGCAGAAGATGTCCCTAGCATTGAGAGATCTTGGCTACTTTGTACATCTTTTCAGCTGCTTTAGCATACATGGATTAGTAAAGGAAGCTAGTGGGGAATTCTTTGTAGACTGAGACTTTTGTGGACATACAACTTGAATAGAATATGGACAGGTGATTTTTATGAATCCTTTAAAATAAGAAACCTTCCCTGAAGTAAATTTGGAAGATGTTTGGTTAAAATGGCTTTAGGAGAGGAAATTCTAAAAGACATCTGCTGTTTAAAGTTTATTAAAGACCTGACTACTGAAAATGACCTCCTGGCAAGCAGCTGGTTGGTAGGGTTCAACAAATTTGCTTTCTCCCAGGTAGGATTCAGTATGCCATCACTGATTGTGTGGAATGCTTTAAAAGGCTGTTCATGGAAGATGGACAGTTTTCTTCTTGTTTGTGCACAATGCAATTTTTTAAATGAGCTCTTACTTGTAGGGAGAATAGATGCAGGGCAGTATCTTCTCTGTAATAGCACTTTTTCATATCCTAGGAGAGGATTTAAACAGTTTGCCAAATAAATGATTATGCAATATAGTATAGTCATGAGTGTGACAGTGTATAATGTAACATCACCATATATTTGTTAATTGCCCAGGTATTTGACCAGTCACTATACAGATGTTGTGCTCAAATTTGGGTATAAATAATATGTTTACTTTTCTTATTTCTTAGGTTCTTATGTGCCAGAGGGTTTGATGATATCCTGTACCTGGGACTATATAACCACTACCCCAGCAAACAGAACTTATACCATGATGCTGTGTTGCTGTGTGTTTTTCATTCCTCTGTTCATAATATTCCATTGCTATTTATCCATGTTTATGGCCATAAGAAATACTGGCAGGTAGGCATGGCAAGTAGAATAGTTCAAGCTCTTCTCCTTCTGTGCTGAAGCATATATTCATATTCTTTGAGTGAAAATAAAACTGGGCTTCTGCTCAATAAATAACACTGTTTACAATGAACATTATATTCTCTTTTAATGTATTAGAACAGGGCTCAGCAAAATATGGCATGTGGGCTAGATCTGGCCTGTGAAGCCAGGTGGCTTTACTTGTGCCCACACCCATGATGGGGCTAAGCAATGAGGAGCTGTGCCCATGCTGATATCACTCCCCACCCTAGAAGCAGCCGGTGTGGAGCAGCACTAGAACCAGGCAGCTTCCAGTTGTGCCCATACTGCAGCTGGAAGACTAGGACATACAGGGTGCAGGGAGAACCAGTGGCAGTGTGGGCTCAGATCCTAGCTGTTTGGCTCTGGCGTGCACACAGCTAAAGCACCCTGTTGCCAATGCACCGCTGAAGCATCCCAGCCCACATCACACTAAAGGCAGGTTGTCCCAGCCTGCAGCTTATACAGGTTGCTGGCTACTGTACTAGATAATCACAACCAGAAATCTCTACTTCCATGCTCCAGATAACAATCGAGTCAAATTGGGGGAGCCAACCTGTGGCACAAGTGTGACGAGTGTCACAGACAGCCTTTGTATGTGGCACATAGCAGATCAGGGAGAGGATAGGCTGAACAGCAGCCAATAGGCCAGAAAGCTGAAGAAAGAGCAGGAGATAAGGCAGGGAACACAAAAAAAGAAGCATAAAGCGAAGCAATTGCAGAGGGAGTGCAGAGAAGGAAGCAGAAAGCAGGGCAGTTGATCAGGCAAAGGAAAGGAATCAAAGTGGCAGTAACGGAGAGTGTAGGGATAATTTATGGCAAACCTGCCAAAAAGGTTGGCCCCCACTTGGTCAAATAAACAGAAGCTGAAATTACATTTTTCTTGTGTACAGCTGCCTCTCATTTTCTCCAGTGCTTAGAGGATGGCCTCAAAAACTTTGATGAAGCCAGCTCCAGGAGAGTATGATAATAAATCTAGCAAAGTGCAGGATATGCATTCTCTGAGTTTGGAACACTCTGCAGACTGTCAGAAGTCCTACCCCATGTATTCCATGAAGAATGGATGGAAATATTCATGTATTAAAAAATATATATTTGTGATGAACTCTACAGAGATTGTTTTAGTTTCAGCTGAACTTGGGGAGATGTGATTAATAGTGGTATATAAAATATCCATACATGCATGCAATTCGCCACATTTCATGCAGAAATGCCAGAAGGGGCATACATTGTGTACATGGGTTAGTCTCTGCTTGATTTGAATTAAACATTCTGTTTTGAGATCAGCTGGGGAAATCTGTCCCTGTTGGTTTTCTTCTCAGTTTGTGTATGTTACTTGCTATGGGACTGATCCAAAGCCTGTTGAAGTTATTTTTCCATTGACCTCAATGTGATGAGGTTCTGTTGGCCCATGTCAGCAAAACTTATGTCAACCTTTTAAGCACCTGTTTAACCCATATTGACTTGAAGGGGATTTAGGTCCATTCTTATTAGCAGAAATTCTTAATTATATGCATAAATGTGTCCTTAAAGTTAATCACATGTGTAAAAGCTTCTTCTTTTTTTACCTATTTAATAGTGATCTCTGTGGGCATATATATATCTACATGTGCATATTAATCTCCATGTGGCTGGGAGGCAGCTGGGACAGCTCTCCCAGCCATGTGGTGACTGGGATGGGTCCTGAAGTTCTTGGGGCTGCATATCATAGAAGTATACCATGTCTGACTTCCTTTTCTAATCTCATGGAGTATTCTGGGGCCATTTTGTTATGCTCTCCACTTTATAAGGTGGTAGCAAAGCAAAACTTTTCTATCTAAAATGCTAAATAACTGAAAACAAAAAGGCATGAGCTTCATTTACTTATTGCTATTGTAATATTTACATATTGCTTTGCGTCTTGTACCCAATATTTTTTCATTCTTTTTAACATCTGTGTGTTCTTCTACTCACAGACATGTTCAGAAACTAGGGTCCTACAGTCGGAAGTCGTACCTCTCACATTCCATGAAGAATGAATGGAAATTGGCAAAAATTGCTTTTGTGGTCATTATTGTGTTTGTTGTGTCCTGGTCTCCATATGCTTGTGTCACTTTGATTGGATGGGCAGGGTAAGTGGACACTATCTTGTTGGTTTGTAAATGAAGATCAAGTATTATTAGGGTGGCAGTCTAAAAGAAGTGTGTGTCTGCGTTTAAAAGGATTTAAAATTGACACAAGATTAGAGATAATGTAGCATTCCTCAAGCATTACTCAGAATATCCCGGGGCACATCTACATGTGCAATTAATACACTTGAATTTTCTGCACAGAAAATTCAAGAGCATTAGACTGGGCCTCCTCATGCATCTGAACATGTGCCTGTCAGGAGCAAATTTTCTCCCAGTGGGAGCAGTTAAGTTTAGGGATGCTTCTGCCCTGATGTGCCCCCCCTGCAGCAGCCAGAGGGATCTCCAGCTCCCCCAGGTGCCAGCCTCAGGCTGGCAGGGGGCCTTGGGGGCTGGTCCCAATATCCATGGGTTGGGGGAGAGCTGTCCCAACTACTGAGCAGCTGCCTCACAGCCAGATGGAGATCAGGACCCATTCTGACCTCCATGTGGCTGGAACAGCTATCCTGGCTGCTTGACAACTGCCTCCCCACCTTGTAGAGACTGGGACTGGTCCCAATGTCCACATGGCTGGGAGGCAGTGTCCCGCTGAGCTGGGACAGTTTTCCCCACCCCCTGTGGTTCCCTGCTGGCTAGGCTGACCAGGAGCAGTTTGCTTCTGGTCAACATCTATATATGCACTTCAGCACATTAGTTTAAAGTACCACTTTCTAGTACCTGTTCCTACAGGTACTAGAAAATGTCTCAATAGACTAATCTACTGAGCAGCAATTGTTGCACACATGTAGACACTGATGGTTTACTGCTCATTGGATTAGTCCAATGCACAATAAAGCATCTTATGTGGATGTACCCCCCTATGGATGAAATGGATTTCAATTTCAATACTTAGATTAAACTTTGTGTGGTTTTTTGTAGTACAAGTTGTTTCCCCCTCCTTTCTTTGCATATATTCCAATTTCTTGTAGCATAAACCTTGCCAATAAATCCAGTAGATGCTATTTTTCTCACTTTCCTAATATATGACCTCTCCCAAATTCCCATCTTCGAGACAGTCACTAATAGAGGGAGAAGAAAGTATATTTTTCTAGCCTCCTGAAAAGCATCTTCCCCATAAGGAACCCCTTCCTCTCTTTGTCCATGTTCAAGTCCACTGATATTAGTGAAAGGTCCATGATAGTGATGGTGACTAGATAACACCTTGCAGCTAAAATAACTTGTGACAAAACAGTAAAAGTTATTCTCAATCTGTTTTTCCTCTTCGCTCTTCTCCTTTTTTTGGCACTGGGATTTCAGTCTCATAGGGCATGTCTACATGTGCAATTAATGCAACACAAAAAGCTCCAGTATGTTTTATGCCAGAGTTTATTGTTCCCAGGTGCTACCTTTACACATGTGCCTGGGACCACAGTACATTGAGCTGGGTCAGAGCAGTCCAGGGGGTGGTCAGCCTGCCAGCCCGGGGCTACTGTAGCCCAGATCAATGTGCTGTGGAGGGGCTGGCTGGGGTACAAGTGTGCTCCAGTGTGGCAGCTAGCTTGCAGGCAGTCCCCACACTGAAGCACCCTTGTGCCCCAGCCAGCCCCATTATTATGTACACATGCATTGCTACACACTAAAGAACACTGCTGTAATATAGTACTTGTGTTTACAAGTACTAACCTACAGTGGAGTTAGTTAGTTTACTGCAGCCTAATAGGGCTGCACATGTAGATGCTGAGACTTTACTGCAGAGCTAATTAAGCAGCTCTGCAGTAACCTTCTCATGTTGATGTACCCATCGACACCCCAGTTCCCCAAATTAATTAATGTAACCAAAATATGCCAAGTACTGCTAGTTTTTATTCAGAGCAAGGAATGCAATTTAGGGAACAAACTTTTCAAATATAGTTGTTGTCAAAGGATCATAGCACTGATTTATTTAGGAAAGCGTTATAGTTTTCTAGTAATTTAGATAATATAAATCCATTATGTAACTTTGTGTTACTTTTTTATTTTAGCCAGGGTGACATCCTAACACCATATTCTAAATCTGTGCCAGCTATTATTGCCAAAGCTTCTACAATCTACAACCCTATCATCTATGCAATAATTCACCCAAAATACAGGTACAGTAAAGCACATACTTACGGTGGTAAATATACTTCCCTATGATCTCGGTGAGACAGGAGATGACTCCTGATAACATGCAGCTCTTTCTTCTCCTGCTACCAGAAGAAATGTTGGGGAGGTGGATGTAGTTGTGGGGAGGAGGGACAGAGCGTGGGAGAATTATGAATGTCATACATTTTGGTCTTTGAAATGTAAATAGCTGAAACAGTACCATTTCAGCTATTAGAATCTAGGATACAGGTTTCCCTCACTTTATATGGGTTCTGTATGTGCGGATTCACTCTTATGCGATCTGTGTGGTGGAAACCCACAGTCAACTGCTTTGTGAGGTGCACTGTGGGAGTGATGAGCACCAAAATATAGTCTCCTGTGTGGATCTGTGCTCCTTGCTCGTTGCCTGCGGCACGTTTCTGTAGTTGCCATCCCCATTATGTGTTTGTGTGTACTGTCCGCTGTTGGAGAGTACCAAAACTGTCTTGTAAAACTGGTAGAAATGGGTCTGGGGATCAGTACAGTCAAGGTCTTGGAACTTATTCCTATTTGTTACATTGTAAAGTGGGTTCCCTTTGAGTTATGTGCCATTTTCCAGGAAAGCATGTACAGCATAAAGTGAGAAAAACCTGTATATGGATACATCCAAGTGCTTGGGCCTTCAGTGGTCTGTCTCAAAAGAACATAAAATGTACTTAATAACTGAGTAAGCTAATGTGGTATCAAGCCAGGGCAGACTTGCACTGTTTCCCAGAAGCTGCTTAAGCCTCAAACTTTGCCTAACCTAGAGGCTTTGTGGACAGCTGCCATGAAATTGTTCCCAGATAGACCACTGGCCTTAAGGATTTCATGTCACAGGACATGCTATATAGCTAATTATCATATCTGATTATGTAACATGATATGGAAATTTCTCTCGCCCAGTGAACAGCAATAATGTTTTTTCTGCCAAGCTGGGAAGGGCAAAAGAAAAAATTCTACTTTGTATTTTTTTGTAATCGTTTTTCTTCATTGTTCTTTTTGTTTTTTGGGTTTTTTAATTTTATCCCAGTCAGGAGAGAAAGAAATTCAGGAGATGTTTAAGCAATTCTATTTGTACAAGTCCTAAAACATTTGGCTTTCAAGAATCGAGTGAAAATACCTCTTTTCATGCAACTGATGTCCTTGTACCCATTTTAAATAAAAAGGGGTTATTGTGTAGAAAAAGAATGTCTTCTATATCAGTATTTTTTCAGGATTTCTCTTGGCTCATTAGCAAGTATTTCAAAGACTATCTTTTATAAAGTGACTGTTAAACAAGTTTTTGGCCAAAGCAGATGGAAGAGGTACTTATAATATATGAATAATAATACCACTAGATGGCAGTGTTAATTGTCTAAGATTTCATTCTTGTCAGGGAAGGGGAGAAGCTTCTATAGGGTGTGTCTATATATGACATTTACTTTACAGTTGCTTAATTAGCACCACAGGAAATGTTTTGGCGTCTAAACACGTGGCCCTATTAGGCGGCAGGAAACTAATACACTCCGCAGCACATTAGTGCTTGTCAATACAAGTACTATCATGCTGCAAAGTTTGTTCATGCTCAGCAGCACATATGTAGGCACTTTCGGGGCTGGGGCATAAGGGTACTTCAGTGCAGAGAGCTGCCAGCTGGCTAACTGTAGCACCCTCGTGCCCCAGCCAGCCTCTCTGCAATACGTTGAGCCTGGCTGGCAGGCTGACCCTGGGACCCCCTGCCAGCTGAGGCTGCTCCAACCTGGCTCAACACTCTGTTGTCCCAGACCCACATGTAAACATGGTGCCCAGGAAAATAAACTCTGGTGCAATAAGCACCAGAATTTGTGTTGCATTAATATGCATATGTAGATGTGTCCATATTGTCTCTTTTTGCAGCTTAAAGACTAACTCATTCAGAAACATAAGCTACAGCCTACTCCATCAGATGTTGTCATCTATGAAAGCTTATGCCTCTGAACTAATTAGTCTCTAAGGCTGCCTATACACATGCTCCAGAGGTGGGAGGAGGCACATTTTAATTAGAGCAGTTCCCAGAGAGCTGCTCTAATTAAAATGCCTCACCAATATGTGTATTAAGCCCCCATGCATTTAAAAATGGCCATGGGATGCTTTATCTAAACCTCATTTGATGAGGTTTAGATAAAGTGCCCCCACAACCATTAAAAAAAATGCAGGGGCTTATACACATGACAGTAAGGCTATGCTGGAGCGTTCTAATTAGAACATGGAGGAACATGGGCAACTGATTCCTCCCAAGTCTGGCGGGGGGGGGCACCAGATCGCTGATGGAGGGTGGTCCCCCAGTGGCTAATTGCCAAGCATGGAACCAAAACAGCATGGGTAGGCGTAACAAGCACTCATCCCAAAGGTAGCCACTCAACCCTTGCGTAGTCTGGCTTTCTTTGGGCACTCTCCCCTTCACTCGTCCACCATGCCTAGAAGTTATTATCTATTTAGAAAAAAGAAAGGCTGCCCCAGGGCTTCCCGAGCCTGATCTTACTGTCATAATCACAGTTGTCCATGGTCATTGCCTTAAGGGCTAATTATGTGGCTCTAACCACCCATTACACCATGCCCATGCCTTGCAGGTGGTAGCAATCATGTTCTTCTTGTGCCATGGCCTCAGTCCCTGTAACTGGACCTCCCTGCCCAGGCACTTTACCTACCTCAGCAACTCCCTGGAGTGATTTCCAGGCTTTCCTGTTTCTCCCAGGCACTTTGCCTTGCATGAACACAGCCTCTCCTGAACACAGCCTCCCTGCCTGCACTCCCCACCTGGGCAATTTGCCTATGTGGGCTAGGCTACTCCTGGCCTCTACATCCCACCCTATCAGGCTCCTACTGTCACCCCTTCTGGGCTTTAGGGCCTGGCCCCATTCTCTGGATTCCATTTCCCTAATCCCTGAGCTTCTTTGCCCTGCTTCTGCCCCTCTCCAGGCTGTAGGCCCCTGGCCCTGATCTCCAGGCACCTTTGCCCCAATCACTGAGCTTCTTTTCCCTGTTCCTGGGCTCCAGTCCTGCTCCCAGTCCTCTGGCTCTCTCTGCCCTGTTCCTGGGCTCCAGTCTTACTCCCAGGCCTCTTTCCCTACTCCTAGGCCAGTTGAGACTGCCTCCACCCCATAGTCTCTTCTACAAGTCTCAAATGCCGCGTATCCCAGCTCAGCTGTTAACCAGGAGCCTGGCTGCAGTCCTGCTGCCCAGAACTCCTCTCCCTGTGGCTCTCAGGATTAGACTCCATGACTAGCTCTGACCCTTATCTAAGTTAGAAGAAGATTCCTAGAGCCTTAAATAGGAGCAAAGTTAGGACACTAATTAGATCTTCTGAAAATCCCACCCTATGTGAATCTTCCTCCCTTCCTTTCCAATCTGCATTTCCAGGAGTAATGACACCGTAAGTGGTTGTGCAGCTATTGTGGATTGGGGACTCCTCATGTTACTTAGGTGAATAAATTATGAAGCACAAATAAATAGTAAGGTACAAAGCCTAATTAGTAGTTACTGGGCACGTCTACATGAGATGTTTACTATAGAACTGATAAATTAGCTCCGTAGTAAATGTTTTGCATCTACACATGCAGTGTTATTAGGCAGGAGTAAACTAATTAACTCCTGGCAGGAAAGCACTTGTATTTACCTTATTCTTTAGTGTGCACACGTGTAGATGCTGGAGGGGCTGACTGGGGCATGGCAGTGCTTCAGTATGAGGGCTGACTGTGGGCTAGCCCCACACTGGAGAACCCTCATGCCCCAGCTAGCCCCTCTACAGCATGATGTCCTGGGTCAGAGCAACTGCAGGCTGGGAGGCTGTCCCCCAGGCCCCTGCCAGCTACAGCTGCTCTAGCCCAGTTCAACATACTGCACTCCCAGGCACACATGTAAACAGTGCTGACCCAGCTCTGATCCAGTGAGAGGCTGCATAGCCCAACACTCTTTCAGTATCCAAATCTTGAAGCAGCTCTGCTAAATATTTGTGAATCAAATATTGCTTGCTTTTTGGGATCAAGGTCTGTTCCACTCAGGTTGCTACTACATGAGACATTTTACTGGGCATTAAAGTAATCTAATATGCAGTAAAGCATCAGTGTCTACATGTGCACAGCAATTATTGTGCAGTAGATTAATTTAATGCACCATTTTCTAGTGACTGTAGAGCAGGGGGTTGGACTAGATGGCCTGCTGAGGTCCCTTTCAACCCTAACTTTCTATGATTCTGTGGTGCCTGGGAAACAATGAACTCTGGCATAAGCACCCAGTGAATAGTTTCCAAGTAGGCTATAGGTTCTATATGTTTGCATAAATGATTTTTCTTATAGTTTTGAATAAAGAACAAATATATGAAAATAGTCTATTTGTGGATAACTTACAAATGGTGAATTGCAAATACTGCCAATAGTTCAGCTGTGAACACTACAAAGATGAGACTTTATTGTCATTATTTCACCATAATAAAAAAATCTTTTGATCATTTCACTTACTTGAGTGAGACCAACTTCTTTTTTTAGCCTTTTTGATTGTGATGAGTTTAGATAGCATGCATGAGTCAGGAATCATGACCTAAAGGGTTCAGATGCAGTTCAAATTGGTTGGATGTTTTGAGGTATTTTTAATAAATCTAAAAAATGAAACAACTTTTTACAGGACATTTTGCTGTAAACCGAAACCCAAAAAACTGCATCTAATAGAGAATGGTCTGTGGACTACAGGTACAGAATTTGCACAGCCAGTGTCAGGAACTTCTTTCCTATCAAAGGTACGCATGTTCATTTAGCTCTGCTGGCAACCTGTAGATTGGGGTGAGCAAAACAGTGGATCTGGCTGGCAGCCGGACTCCATTTTCCAGTAGCCCCTGGCTGCATGGCTGGGGCTGGAGACCCCAGCTGCTGTGCTGTGATAGTGCAAGGCTGCAGCTGTCATGGAGATCGGCCCCAGCCATGCTGACAGGACGTGTGGCAGGGCAGGGGACTGCTCCGAAGCTGCTGGGATC